CAACTTTTGGTCGATAGAGACGCGGAAATCAGGGCAAGTCCAATGTGCTCCAGGTCTTAAACATGCATTTACTTGGAATAGCATAAATCCAGATGCATACTCCTAGGTGAGATAGAGGGCACATAAGCCTCAGGATTGATCCAAATCAGCCTCCCCTCTGACCTATAATAGCGACAGTAATGTTATCAGTACTACTATCACCCACTTGCATCGCTAGTAAGAAGTAGAAATAGCAGTAATATCAACTGTATAAGTCGCACGACACTTACTATTGGCGCGTTTTTATCGCAAGCTACATAGTAAGTCTGCAGTTAGTCTGGACACGGCAAATGGTTCTACGTTGCTACATAAAGGCATGGTAGAAACTTGAGCTATTATTTAATAACTTTAACGCATACGCTTCTTATTTACCCCACATCGCTTGGGACTATATACTGGGTACCGACTTAGCACAAGCACACACAGGCCGTGTTGTAGTATACTATTTACTGGTCTTATTACGTGTGATTACTAAAAATAACACTCCTAGCATAGGCATACAACCTCTATCGGCAGCACTTTAGTCCTCGTAGTCCAAAATTGGCAAAAACTAACACAGCTTAGTGGGTAGAGTTGCGAGTGCGTAAACCAAGGCTTTTCTGATCTGTTCTGGGTCTCAAAAATGTATTTACTCGGAATAGCATAAAACCTGATTCACAATCCTTCCAATCGGCATCACCTTTGACTAATATTAGCGTCAGTAATAGTGCCTATACTACTAACACTCAGCTACATTGCTAGTTAGTATGAATATAAATAGAAGTAGCATTATCAGTCTCGGTCTTCTTCAGTATGGCTTGACACCTACTGACGGTGAATGAGGGTAGGCAGTGCGGTATTATCAGAACAAAGTCTGCTGTCATCAAAAACTAAGTTAGGCAGTGTTCTGGCCTGCATTGGAGAAAGCGGCCTATGCCTGATCCCGTTCGAATATTTCGACTCTGTCTTATTACCGGTTCAAGCGGGTTGAAGATGAAGAGTACAGTAGACGGTTGCGCGTCTACATTCACGTAAATTTAATCCCTGACTCCAGTCACCCTCCCCGCTCCAACCTGCTTGGAGCAAATGTTGGGCTTCATCGAAATCCATGTTCGAACAACCATCACCACAGGACCATCAGCATATTCAGGGGGTGGAAGTAAACTTGGTCGCCCACGTTAGATAATTCTAGTTCTAGAATCCTGTTTTACGTGAGCAGTGGTATTAGATAAGTTTAGTATATGACAGGTATTTGAGTATATTGATCCAACATTTGCAGTATCTATTGAAACTAAAACTAAATAATAAACTATGGCCAGACTAATACTGATAAAAATAAGAGTGACCACAGGGCTAGGGGTACCTAACGTGGGCGGCCAACGTAACTTTTACCCCAGGGGGTCTCCAGACTTTCTGGCAGGTCATACACTTTTCCTTTCAACAAATTGCCCCTACCTTGGTCCTCATCGAAACCTCTCCTTG